GAAGGTGGTGCTTGTTCAGCACCAGAGACTCCAGCAGGGACTTCCTCAGGGGTATGTTCTATCTCTCATGCTATTTAACATCTACATACGTAAAACCGCTGGGTGAGGTCATCCTAAGTTTTGGAGTGCATTGCCTTCAGTATGCTGATGAACACAGCAACAGCTCTCCTTTTCATCATTAGCAGGTGAGGCTGTGGATGTGCTAAATCAGTGTCTGGCTACAAAAATGGATGGGATTATCAACCAGACCAAATTGAGATGCTGTTGGTGGGTGATTTCTTTAACTGGGTGGGGGTATTTTAGATGGGGTCACACTCGCCCTGAAGGAGCAGATTCACAGGACGGGGGTGCTCCTTGATCCATCTTTGTCACTTGAGGCTCAGGTGACTCAATGTGCCTTCTACCAGTTTTGGCTGTGCCCTTACCAGGCCAGGGATATCCTGGCTTCAGCAGTCTATGGACTGGTAATCTCTAGATCACTGCAACATACTCTACATGAGACTGCCTTAAAGATGGTTCAGAAGTTGCAGCTGGTGCAGGATAAAGCAGCCAGATTAACAACTAGAACCTGGAGGTCTCAATATTTAAGACCAGTTCTGGCCTGCCTGCACTGGCTGCCTGTATGCTTCCAATCCCAATTCAAGGTGCTGGTCTTAACCTATAAAGCCCTACATGGCTTGGGACCACAATACCTGTCAAAGTGCCTCTGCCCATCCCATCTATCCAAAGCACTATGCTCAGCCTCTGGGGCCTTCCTCTGGGTGCCAACCCCACTAGGGGGAGGGCCTTTTCTGTGGTTTCCCCCACTCCATCTTTGTTACAACCTTCCTGCTGCAGCCCACCTGGAGCCAAATTTGCCATCTTTCAGGCACCAGGTAAGAAAAGTCTCCATGCATACTTGGGGCTTCCCTAATGTATCTGACTAACTACTATGGGAAAAAGGATGCTGTACCAGACAGACCTTTGATTTTGATCCAGCAGGACTCTTCATCTTCTGAACCTGGATACAGTTTAACCCCCCACAATGTTGCTTCTGAATATTCAAAATATGAAGCAACATAAGCAGTTGTTCACATTTAGAACTACAGCAGCATGCACATAATATAAACCTGTACTTCCACCTAGCTGGAGTTAGTGATGACGAACTGGTGATGTTTTCAAATGCTGTCATAGATTTTTAGTCACTTCAAGCTGAAGCAACAGGTCCGTGGGTTTTGCATGCCCTTTTTATTTGATTGCGGCCTTAGATATTGTATGATCTATGATTTAAGGATAGTGATGTCAGTCTTGCTGTTCTCTAATTTATGATCCCTTCAATTCTGTCTTCCTAACAAATGTGTCAAGGGCAACATGGTATCTTTTTGCTAGTAAGCATGACTCTGGTGTTACAATCCAATGTTCCGGCAATCTACTAACTACGCTAACAAACTACTCTTGCTGGGTTCAGATGCATGAGCTAGGGCAGGGTTGTGGAATGGTTACCCATGGATGCTTGGCACATGCTACAAGCCACATAGGGTATTCATGCCACCATGATAGTAAGCCTGATCCGGTATTGTAATTCAACATACATAAAGACATAGTTTTCATACTAAATAAAGTCTAGGTTAAAGACTATGTTAAATAGTTATGTTAACTATGTTAAACTGGATCAAGTATACAAACTGTGACAAGGAAGCTTACATAGCAGCTGAAAAGAGTTTAAACATAAGTATGAAAGGGCAACAATAATAAGAAAATAAGTAAAAATAATGTAACAAGCTTGTATTTCAAGAAATCTACATGCAGACTATGGTTTCTCCTGATAGGTAGAAAGAGATAAGAACAGGCATTCCTTGGGAGTTAAGTTAACCAATAGAAGTTAAGCTTAACTCCCACTGGTGCACCTGAGAATATGCACACAGTGTGCTTCAAATGATTATAACCTAATAAGAAAATTAATACTGCACTCTGCAAATGCACAGCAGTTCTGAATGTTGCCTTATGTACAATACAATCAATGTACAGTCATTTTTTTAAAATGTTGCCATAGTAAAAATATGCACTTTGGAACAGGAATTTCTCTGGTTTATATTTTCTTCATTTTCGGGTAATGTAAATGATATTCCTTTCAATCTTGCCAATTTTAGGTTTATAAAAATAAACCTATATTTTAATTGTCAAGGCACATTTTAGGTCTGAATCAGTTTGATGTGCATTTTTCAATTGTTCTTGAAGAAAGCTACTTTACCCTCCTCCAAACAAAGTACTTATTAAAGTGGATTGCCCTAGTAATTCCAAAGAATTCCACACAATGAGTAATAGCTTTACAGTGAATAATGTAAGTTTCAATTCAGAAGGGAAATAAGCCTTATGATCACAGAAACTGGAAACTCAGAAACCCATCCTGAGCATTTCTTTGTAGCCTGCCATTATCTAACACAGAGTTTGATTACCTGCTATGACGAATTAAAATAATGGTTATAAGCAATCAATTCAAGCATGGTCAATTGCAGATTCAATTACCTTTGCTGAATAAAAGTGAATTTCAGCACACTTTCTTAGATAAATTCACTCAGAAGGACTAAACACTAAAGCATAATACATACGAGTCTGTTTTGTTTTTATGTTAAGAAATTACAGAAATCACAATATTTTTCTGAATGGGATGTGAAAATTGAAATTAAAAATATCAGTTTATGGGAGAAAGTGAAATAAGCATTTACCCATAATCACAAAAGTCTCGCAAAAGAAATGCCTAGCCCCTATTCTGGTATATAATAATGTTTGAAATGCTGAACTTGGGTTTTTAGCTACACAGCTGACAGGTAAAATGGTTTTCTCCATGCTAGGTACTGAACTTGGCCAATGAACTTCTTTCATTTTTTATTTTAAAAAGTTCTAGAATCTTTTCTAGAGGCCCCTTCTGACTCGCTCTGTTTCTATGTTTCATGTTACTTCATATACGGGATGGCAAAAACTTGAGATTTTAAAACATTTGAAGGCAGAACAAATTAATAAACTTGTTCATCCCTAGGTAAAACTGCATTCTCACTTTTTTTCTTAACAATATTCAAGGCTCAGTTTTCATAATGACTGCATTATGCAACAATCCCATTGAAATTAGCTGGATTAATTTCTATTTATTCCTCCTTCATTTAGACTACAATTCTATACCATTTACCTGGAAGTAAACCCCATGCATTCAATGGACTGTATTTCTGAAAACACATGCATAAGATTACATTCTTCATCCCCTTGAGTCATCTCTAAAGTTAAGTATTTGTTAGGTTTTAGCAAACCTGCAGAGATGTAAAGTGCAATTTGAGATTTTCAAAAATCTTTAAGAATTGCCTAACAATGCCAATTTTTGCCTACTATTAATATTGCCTAAAATTGGGCAGATGATAAAAAGTTCCATATAAATTTTACTGAACACTTTTATATTCCTAATAATCGCACAACAGCTGAAAAGTCACCTTGTCACATCATCCATCCTGAGAAACCAGGAGCACTTTGGGAAAAGTACAAGTTTTTCAAGTCACACATAGTAGGAACTATGCAAAATTGATATATTTACCTCCGTGCAATCACGTGTGCCCCAAATTCATATCAGGACCATGGCTTTTCAGGAAAAAGAAGATGATTTAAGCCTTCCCCAATCCTATTTTCATCCCAAAATTCATCTCTACCCTACATGGGGTTTTAAAAAGGAAACACTTCATTGACAACCATTGGAGATGGCTTTTCTTCTTTTAATTCTCCCCTATGCAAGGCAAGGGAAGGAATTTCAGGATAAAAAGGGAAGGGGGAAGCTTCTATTTCCCTTACTCCCAGAGAACCATGTCCCAAACCTAATCAGAACTATAAGTACTTACACTGAGGTATAGAGGTCAATCATAGCTTTGTGTGATTTGAACATATAGTTTGGTCTTTGATCTCACTAACAGAAGTAATTCCATGACGACTAACCTTGAGCTTACACTGAGAACAAGCAGCAGTTATCTGTCCATTAGGACAGTAAAGATTAGACTCATTGATCAAAATTACATGATCTCGTGTGCTCCTGTGGCAAAAGCATTCAATGTGGGCCAAGCCTAACAACAGCCACCAGTGGCTCTGGAATAGTTACAGGGCAACACAAAAATCTAAGCTACTCAAACCTAAACAGAAAGTTTTTTCAGAAGAGAGTATCTGTGCCCACAACAATGTTAAAATGGTCCTATAACATGCCTCAGAAACGCAGCTTGGTATTCTCTTTTGAAAATATTAATATGCCAAAGTAAGATTGAACACTTAAAATGCACACTGAAGGAGTCCAGTATCAGAACCATTTATATCTTTACCAAGGCATAAAATGTGAACATTCAGAATTCAAAAAGCATTGATTTGCAAGTCATTCTGTCCCCCCCCCACAAAAAAAAAAATGTTTTGAAGAGAACAGGAAATATTACCAGAGCGTATTTTGTCATGTGAGGTGGTGTCATGACTAAATCACTTGAAGTTTGCAAACAGAACATTCAAACTGCACAATTCCCAGCCAGTTTTGCTGAAGTAATGAGCTTCAGCTGTGAAAAGGTCTTGCTCCATAAGGCAGGTAATAAATCATTATCAGAGCGAATGCAACTCTTATGTTGTTCCTTTTGAGTACCGTTATTAGCACCTCATGGGGTTTTTGCACAAATTATTTTATAAAACATTAATTATATTTTCTTTTACTCAAGTAAAGTTCCTAACATGCAGAAGATTTTAAGGTTAGGCACACCGTTTCAGCATACATTTTGGGACAGAACGGACAGCTACACAAAGGTAAAATATATGGGTAGTGTGTACTTTCCGTTTATTTAATTTTTGTACACTAAGCTCTTCTTCTCCCCACAAATCCATGCTAGTTGCGCAAAATGGCTTCGTATTACTCATTAATTGATCCGGCATAATAGCCAAGCATGCACAGAGCTAACTTGGGGTATGCTTTGAAAGAGTTCTTTTGTTATCGTGACTTTAGAAAACAAGATACTCACATGACCCTGGTCATCCAGTTCATTGTTTGTAAGTTTCAGTTTGTCAAAGCTAATGACTTGCCTCATCCAAGTCTCTCCTGAGGCAGGTGAATCCGGGTGAATGTACACACGAGGCGGCACAGGCGAGTCAGCGTTACCTGCTACCATCCATTTGGAGCTATGATAAACGTATCTGTAGGAAGACACCCAAAGCCAATGAGAGTCACAATAATTTACTGGTATTCTTCAATCACTGTGGCAAAACTAAAGTAAACAGAATGATTTTGTATGAAGACACGTGTTTAACACAGAAAGACAAAGAAAAACACATGGATCGTGCTGTTTATTTGGCCAAGGGAGGTGCATAGCCTCAAACTAATTGCTTGTCACAAACTTTTTTCTTTCATTTAGCCTACAGTTTTCTTAAATCAGACTGAACCATATGTTAAAAACAAAACTGGGGCTGTAAAAATTAACTAAATATTAAAAGAAATTCAGAGGAAATTGTAATGTTAAAAGGTTTATTTTCATCAGAAAGCCAAACTCTACAAATATTTCTTTGAAAGTCCTGGAATTTAATTCCAGTTTTTCCTGAGATTTATCCCTTAATCACACCAAATTTTGACTGTCGATCCACCTTCCATGTTAAATAATCTACTGAAAACTGAGCCAAAGAATATACTTATGAAGTCTGTTCACCCATCATTAAAAAATTCTGCATAAATCTCATTTAAGTCACCCCCAAACAGCGTTTGCGTACTTTTAATTTATTTTAGACAGCTTCGCACTATAAAGCATTGAAATGTCACCAGTGCTATAAACATTTTCACAGCAACTATTTTTAAATTTCAACATAGCACAAGATCTATATACAGGTGTTATGTATATACCACACAGCATGGCTACCTATGGGCCCTGCTACAAACATGGAACTCCTGCAAGAGGATGAATGGTGGGATTGTCTGCTCTCCTGCAATGAATCTATGAAAATATTGGCTTTGTTTAGGTATCTTTGAAGGCAGAGGAGCTCCATGTGTGCATCACAGTTACAGAGTAGGGAGATCTTCTACAGGATACTACTGGACGAATCTGATAGTTCCTCTATTTACAAATTGTATTTCATTGCTATACTACAGTATAAATATTTAGTCCAAAAATCTTTCTAACATTAAACATCAACATTAATAACATTAAAAAGCTCAAATTTTATGATTTAGCTCAATGAAATCTTGCCTTGCTATCAACAAAAACAGAACTGGGATCATTGACTTGGATTCTAAAACTAATTCTACTTATGTTACTCAGAAGACGCATTACGTTCAGCGGGATGTGCTCTCACATGCTTGGGATTGCAGTCAAAATATCCCTTCTGCAAAAGAAATGGCTTTTCGTCCGTGGAAAGGGTTTTGAGCCAGTGGAGGCTTCTAATGTGAAAAGTGTGCGTGCGGAGCAGGGACGAGAGAAGGCTGCTTTTTCCTTCTAATTCTACCCTTTCTCTGTAGCCCCACACAACAGTTCTGGAGCATCCTTCAATTCCACAGAGCAGATTTTCAGGGAACATGGGCTATCGTGGGAAGAAGAATGGAATTCCACTCATGAGAAACTTAGTCATTCAGTGCAAAAAGCAAAGCACTGATCCCATGAAAATTATTCCTTATAAAGGCACTTCACATATTATACCAAGTACTTAGAAACATAGGAAAGTCATGCTGGATCAGACCAAAAGTTCATCTAGTCCAACACAAATAGCTTTGGGTCACAGCTCAAAATTATTCAGTACAAGGAAATGAATAGCTGTTTGAGAGCATTATACTCTACTTTTCTATAAAATATGCCCAAGGTGGCTAACAATAAAATCAACATTAAAAAATTGAAATCTATTAAGAGCACACACATGCATGTACACACACCAGCTGGTTAAACCATGATTAAAGTTAAACATAAGCTTAAAGTTAAAAATAACCAAGCCGACATAATGGTGGAAGGCCATCAATGCAGGTGTCAGAATATCCTTCATAGGGAATTCTCAAGTCTAGGCGCAGTCACTGACTGAAACTCTTTTTGCAAGTTCACATTAAAACATACATGCTGGAAGGACAGAGAGAAAGGCCTTTTTGAAATTCGGGGAAGGTTTGTACAAGACAAAGTGGTCTTCTGAGTAACCTGATTCTGAGGTGTTTAGGGCTTTATGAGTCACAACCTTCTCTTTGCACTGCACAAGGAAACAGGCAGATGGCCACATGCTGCCTGTAACTGTCCCTGGACAACCGCATGTTTGCAGCACTGGAAACTAGCTGAAGTTTAAAAACCAGTCTCCAAAGCGAGCTTTGGAGAAAGCAAGTTGCACAAACCCAAATGAAACAGAACTAATGTGTGTATCACCACAGCCAAATCAATCGCACCACGGAATGGGCATCAAACAAGAACACTGCTGATAACTGCAGAAACCCAGTTACCAAGGTCTAACAGCAAGTGAATCTAAGGATTACCCCCAAATTATGTACTTCATTTTTCAAGGGGTGTGCAAACATATTAAAACAAGCTAAACTCCAAAATCCATGATCTGTCTACTGACAAAGGAAACACCTCTGCCTTATTAGGATTAAATTTCGAAGTGTTTGGGCTGGTCTAGTCCATTACTAACAAAACATGAATTATGTCTGTGGACTATGATGGAAAAGAAAGATAAAATGGAATTTACTGGTAGCTTCAACATCAAAACAGCGGAAAACCTCTCACAGCTGTTTCAAGTAGAAGTTGAATAGTATGGTGGACAGAACAGAACTTCACAGGACGTCGTAGGTCAACAGCCAAGTTGTCAAACAGGAAACCCCAAGCACCATCTAATGGAACTCTTGGACTACAGTGCCACCAAGTCTACATCACCAAGGCATCCCAGAGATCCTTAGCATCTCCTTTTTAGGCCTACAGCTTCACCTTACCCTTACTCAGCTGGTCCCACTCTTGTAAGTAAGGAAGGACAAAGATGAAATACATATATGGTAGTTCCTACTTCTCCAACTCTCCTAAACACATTTCCTAATTTGAAAAAAAATGAAAAGTGCCCATCAGAACTGAACAGGAATGCAGCAGAACTACAGAAACTAGAATCTCACTAACTATGGCATCCATCCAAATACATATGATTTTATCTGCAAACTATCCTGGTTATTGAGTAATCCTCATTTCTATCTTGTGAGACCACATATAATGGGTTCCAGACAGCTTAAAAACACCCTGTTGATCAGTTCTGTGAGGATGTAGTAGTAAACATTGAGTGTTTTGGTTCTCCAAAGTGGGAAGTTGTTCAAGAGCAATTGTGCCAACTGCTCAGGCCATTCTTCATTCTGGTGGCAGACATGGGCTTAGAAAAGTGACAGGAAAAACCTCTTGTGACATCAGAAAGCCACTAGAATCCATCAGTCTCTTGGAAGACCCTTTGGAAGGCCTATCAGAATCATTCCAACCAGCACAAATACAAACAAAATGAAACCACAAAATCAAGAGTACATCCAACTAAATGAGCTGAGACAGAACTCACTTGGGACAGATGCATAACTACCATTAAAATGTTGAGCTGCTCTCAACAGTGGGGAAATCCCAATACTACTAGCCTGGAAAACTCCATAGCCAAAACCATCACAGCTAGTTCAAAGAAGAACAATGAATGGTGGACCGAAAGAACCCCATCCCAGGCACCCACTTCAAGATCACACATTCAGAACTGGACAACTGTTGAATGATGGACTCAGTTTGTGTTATTGAATGTCAACCATCTGGGACGCAATCCTGGGGGGAAAAGACTGGCCTGGTTTGTATTACAAAGACCTTTTTCAGCTTTGTCCTTTTGGAGCAGCAGGCAAAACCATGGAACAACAGGATGAAGCTGTGTTAGTCTGTCATGGCTCTATTCTTCTGAAACAGCTTCAGTCCATTGCCACCAAGGAAAGTAAAATTATAGGGGAAGTGGGACAACCAAAATCCAGTTGAAATACTTTCCCCATAACAGAATCACCACCAGGCACTGCTCTCAATCTGTAAAATGTCAGTGTTGCTATTAACCCATCTCTTCAAAAACTGTCTCTCTCCAACAGCCAAATCTATACATTAACAGAAACAACAAAAAAGTGCCTTATAACAAGTTATAGGCAGTCCATCCAAATCCTCAATGAGTCAGTTCTCAAGTAAGGGGTTGAAGGACTGCTGCTTATGTGACAAGAGGGGAAAAACTGATTATCTGAATAATGCGGCTTGTGTTCAATATACGACCCAAATGTACAAAGAAGAAAACAACTACTCTGGATCGTTCTCACATGCTCAGCACAAAGGACTTATATTTCATGCAGAGAGATAAGACAGGAAATTGGAGAGAAGTTAAGCACAACCTTCTGTTGATTTCCAAAGTAGTCATGCTTTCCCCAGTACTATGAACGAACAGATCCGATATCATACCTGTATCTTTTGTTATCCACAGGGACAATGTCCATAGCAATATAATATTGTTGATGGGGGTCTAGGCCTGAAATTTTCACTCTCATTGCAGGAAACATCCGTCTGAACACAGAAAAAAGGAGTAAGTAATAAGGAACAGACTTGAAATACAGAAGCAGAAACATGCTTGAAAAATCATCCCCAAATCCTTTTTCAATTTTTGAAAACTATTTTTGGGAAGTTTCTTTGTTAAATATAGTCATTATCTGCACAACACTCTTATGCAAGTCCCAACAGAATTTACCTAGGTATCATTTGCTGAATCATGCTTTGTATGTTTTCTGAAACAGCTTTAAGATACAAACTTTTCCACATAACTCAAGAGTAGTCATCAATCAGCAAACCCTTTTTGAGTATTAGCCATTTTAAACACATTAAGTGGTTTCTAATGGTGACTTTCTATAAAGAGGAGAAGATACCACAGATTTTCTTCTCATTCTAAACCCCTGCATGCCCTACAAGTCTGCTCCAGAGGGCTGGGTTTCTCTGAAACAGACATAGGGGAACACATAGAGGTCTGCATGGCAAAAAAATTGGGAAAGCAAGCTTCTGTTGCACAAGCTGTAGTTCTCAGAAATCTAGTGATGTTCAGGAATCAGTCATTCCTGGAACAGCTATTATTCACAAAGAAACAGGTCCACATTTTGATCCCAAGCCTGTTTGCTCAAAGGAAGTTCCACCAAAGTCAGTGGAGCTTGCTTCCACATCACAAGCCCAAGCCTTGATCAAGACAATCTTGCATCCAGCACTGGGCTTGTATATGCACATAAAAATATGAGGATCCTCCATGTGAGAAATGATCGCTGCTATTGGTGCTGTCATGAGGGAGGGAGAAATATGGGGCACTTAGAGTAGCTTGCACCACATCGATTGGTATACTGAATGTTGACAGCATCAACCACTGCTTCAATCATTTAATGACACTATTAAAACAGTGACCATCACCCCCATGTGATGCTTGTTTCTTTTCCTAGTACAGGCTTACATTGCTTCAACAGGTTACAGAATTAATCAAGAACATGGCAATCCTAAGCATGCATATTTAGAAGCAAGCATCACAAAAACAAATAAAATGTACTTCTGCATAAACATAGTGTTCAGCTGTAAATAATAATTTAAAGCAATGGAAGCTATATAACGTATATTATAAATGATTATTTATACTGCAATTCTAGAAATGGTGTCCTGTTGACTTTAGTGACACACTATGAGCTAAGAGTGTAGAGAATTACAGCCTTAATTGGTTAACTATATCAAACAACTGAAAATCCTATCAAAAATGTCATAGGATGCCCCATGTTGACCAAAGATTAAATGTAGTGAATGAGCTCAGTTCCCATTTATTTCACTTGGGCTCACACAGAAAAAAGAAAGGGGGCTGGTCAACTTTATACTCAGAAGTTATGTAAAAGAAATTCATTAACAGATGTTATAAATTTTATCATTTTATTATAGGCAGGGGGAAATCAAAGCAATGTTAATACAAAGGTGCACATGGCAATTTTCACTAGGGTCTAGTTATAGGTTGGGAAGTAGGAGGTAATTTATTTTTCAAGTGAACATATGCCTGACACCAGTCTATGAAATTGTTTTCAAAGAATTTTATAGCAAAAGTATGCTATCTTTTTCTTTTAATGTAGGTGAACATTGCAATTTTCTTTTCTCGAATTGTTGATATTGTTCCAAATGCATAGAATTAAAGTTTGATTTTTACAAAGAACAGGAGTTATTGACATAACAGTTAACTAAACAGGAGAGCAAAACTAGATGTGGTTAACTGGCTCTTGTTGTTATTTCAGTGCACCTGTAAGATAAAAAAGAAAATCTTTGACAGGACAACTTTTAAGACAAATGTTGCCTTGTGCTGTTTAAGACTGCACTTCAATCATTAATAAAACCCCTCTGAAAATGTAGAAGGTAGCATATGGATTCAATAAAATATGTTTCTGTAATTTCTAATAAGTTCAGATACTTTTATACTGTGCAGGTTTTTACCATGTGTATCCTTTGGAAGGGAAGAAAAGGGATGGTGGTTTTTTGTTTTGTTTTTCTTTTTAGAAGAATGTAGCATTCATACCCTCTAATGTAATGAACAGGAAACCTAAAATTCCACTTATTTCTATAAGATCTAAAATTATTATGACCTATCCAACTTTATAAATCAATTTGTTTAATTCATTTTGACTCACTTTGGGATTCAGGATTGTATCCACCACCTTTAAATATTTTTAGAAATTAGAAGTCATTTAAACATCTAAATTCAACGACATAGCATTTTGTATTTACTTAAAATGGTGAAGAAATCTATATCATGGAACAATGCAATATACAAGTCTTAAGGCACTGAACCACAAGCCCAAAAAAGAACAAGTTTTCCTAGATTTGCTGTTTCAATAATTCTCAAAAATATTTAGAATTGTAGTCATCTATAAAAATCCCAGAAATTGTGCTGCACACAGAAGAATGTGTACATACACATTGATTTGCTCATTCAGGATATTACAGAGGTTTAAATCCCAAGCAGTAAATATGGACTTCCTGGAAACTAGTAAGTCCTATCACAAATCTTTTACTTGAAAACAATTCAATATTAAAATAAACTGTATTTTCTTGCAAGCCATTTCATGTAAGTATATTAGGTGGAAAAGAGATGTACTTTACAATAGAATCACTCAAGTCACATGACCAATTATGAAATCTTGAAACACATTCTGTTACATTCTAATTATACTGATAGATTTGGGTGTAATCAGTTTGGATTTACATGGTGCTGTTTACAAACAAATGTCTACGAAATTTGTCGTTCAGAAAAGAAAGGAAGGAGAAGGTCGGGGCTGCCAATTAAAGGCGCAATGCTCTGCACATTTAGATAGGCGAACAAAACGCACCACGAGTTGTAAGGTTTGTTTTGCCTAAATATGCACAAGGCTAAAACAAACCGTGGAGCCATGGCCTTCTATGAAAGACGACCGGAAGGCATTGCGCTCCATTATTTCCCCCAATTTCGGGGCACAAAGCTTACGCACGGCATTGTCAAGAGCAAAAATTCAGCACCATCTTGCCCCACGGGCCGAGAGGTCACGCGAAAAGCCTTCCGAGCTGCTCAGACACGGCGCCAGGCGGCGGTTCACCGGGCGCTGCCTGCCTGCGGTTTCTCCGGAAGTGCTCCCGAGTACGTGCCCGCGACTGGCTGCGCCAACTGGCTGCTCTGCTTGCGCGCTAGTGGTGGCTATTCGGGGCGCAATTCTATTGCGGTTTGCAAAGACAGGAAGTCCTACAGTTTTCCTTTTCGCTGGAAGTTGAAGGACTTTTAAACGGCTAGCCATGCACAGGATTGCACTTAAATTTGTTACCTTCCCGCCTTGGTGATGATCATCTCGGTGCCGATCTCGTGGAAGCGCTTCCAGAGCTCTGCGCCCTGCAGGTCCACCCGGGGCACTTGTGGAGCAAGCAGTGGAGAAGCGGGCCTACTAGAACTCCCGGCCTTGGCAGGACCTCCGGGGGACAGCGGGGGCGACGTAGCGACACTCAGGAAATTCTCTTCGCAGTTACCTGAAGGAAAAATGGGCAGTGGGAAGGTGCAGAGAAAAAAAGCACGCGCGTCAGGGAATGAACAGAGGCGCCAAGTCCAGAGCCAGGCCGCGCAGCTGCCTCGCGTCTTTGGCTTTTTAAAAGGAAGGACAGAAAGTCGCTAGTGGCACGCTAAAGGGAGGCAAAGGCTCCGCTGCCAAGCAACGGGAAGGCGCCCAAGGAGCTACTCCCTGCTGCAGCTGACCCTTTTTATCCCCCTCACGCGCACGTGCGGCTTTTGGAAAGGGGCACGTGCGTTTTGCGCCTTCCCCTGCTGCTTTTGGCGCGGTCGCAACAGCGCCTCGCGTCGGTCTCTCTTCAGGGCCTGAGCGCCACGAGAGAAAGGCCGGGGCAGCTGCGCTGGGACACGCGCAGCAAAGGGCGAGGAGGGGCGAGTGGGGAAGGAGGTGAGAGGAATTCGCTTGGAGAAAGGCCGTTTGGCCGAGCAAAGGCGGGAAGCAGGCGCAGCCCCCTCCCTCCAACAAGCCAGCGAAAGGCGCCAGTCACGACAAGATGCCGGTGGGGTGTGTTTGAAGAGTCAAGCGCGCTCTTGCGAAAGACCGCAGGCGAAGGTCAGGGCGGCCTGAAGAAAGCCGGCAACCCCGAGCGAGCCGACTTGGAAATAAACTGCCTTCCCTTTAGGGAAGTCCCTTTAGGTTCAGTGGAAGCCAAGGCCAGCTCCCTTGCTAAGAGACACCAATAATTTAAATAATAGCAACCAAGCGGATGGGCTCAGGATCGAGCCGCCAGCTTCGCACTTCCAGGGCCATTTAAAAAATACCAGTGTTAGTCCACACATTCTCTAACTCACGGAAAAGGGACGCAGGCTGCAATCCTATATAAACTTACCTAGCAGGAAGTCCTATTGAAGTAAAGGAAGTTAAGGCTGATAGACACGGATAGGATTGTATGGCAAGGGCCCCTATTTTTCAAGTTTGGCTTTTAGATAAATGAACTTGCAAGGTTTGCAACGTTGCATGCTTTACATATATTGTAGGGAGTCTTTTGAGTTAATTTTGCAGCGGTTCTGGGAGATGAAGTGCAAAACTGGTGGGAACTACAAAGGCCCAAATCCTATTAAAACCAAAGCGATCAGATCTCTTACAACTGGTATTTAACCTAAATTTCTTTTATGGAATATAGGCGCTCTTGATCTCTGCGCAAATCGCACCTAATGAGAGTTAAGTAAGTTAGAGGGTCAGGCACTCCAATCCAAAGCACATTTGAAATAAATCCTGAGGAGTTAACTGGATTAAGTATCAAATGCGTTTAAGAAAATGAGCATTCATCTATTTCTTTCCAAACCAAATATTATCACAGTGGATTTTGGTCTTTTCTCTGGGAGGGCACAGAAATAAACCCAGAAAAAATAAATACAATTTAGAGGTGTACAGGATATTTTATAGTCTCTATTCATGTGTTAATAGATATTTAATAAAATACACTCAACTCTTTAAGTGTTGCATGTTTTGAATAGGTAATTAAAATCTTCCAAAACGATTTAAAATAAATATGATTAAAGCTATTTTTTCCGTGCACTTAGTTAAACTTTCAACCTAATCAGGCAATTGAGAGAAGTGGCCGCACTGGAACATTCATATTAATGATGATGATGAAATACATCTCCCCTATTAAAGAGCTTGTAACAACAATAAAATTGGCAATGAATTATTTAGCACTGGCTGAATGATTATTTCTGAATGCCAATAATTATACAAGCTCTAGAATAATGTTGGGTTTAAAGAAGTTATATATGAGAGTCTAAATAAGTTTTAAAGCATGTGCATTTAATCACGGAAAGTTAAGAATAGGGAAATATACTATTACGGTAACTGGTGACAAACATACATATTTGTCCATGATTTATGCATGGCTCACTTTATTCGGATTGTGCCCACTATCTGGAACTAAGTAAACCAGTGCACTCTGCATTCCTACATACACTTACCTGGAAGTATGTCTCATTGAAATCAATAGGCTTTCTGAGTAACTGCTAGTGAAGCATCATAACTAGGATGTTGTGTGGCTGCAAACCTATCTATTTGTGAGTAAAACCTACTGAACTCAGCCGGTTTTACTTCTGCTCTCCTTTACCTATTAGGATTAGGCAACATAGCGCTGAATTGAGAAGCGCTTGTCCAAAAGGTTACTAGAACGTAATCCTGTGGAATCCGATTGCTTTCAGGAAAGGGAAAATGGAACAGGATTGCAAACTCAGCATGAATATTATAATACTGAATGATGAAACAGATTACTGGGGAAAGGGTGCCCTATTCCATCCCAAATCTTTAAATGGGTACTGAGTTCATTTGCATTCTTCCCCAACCGCCGCAGCACCCGAGAGAGGTTTCTCAAAAGCTTGAGAACTACCGAACAAGCCAGTCTGCCTGCGTAGTTTCAGCGGGCTGCACGGAAACAGAAAACACCGCGCTGGCGGGCAGGCTCTGGGCACTGACAGCTGCCCCAAAGAGGCAATTCGGTCGCAATATGCGAACACTGAGACTGCCGTCGGAAAGCGAGAGACCTCGCCTTTGGTACTGGCGACGCGAGCCGCATTCCCCTGCGGGAAGGAACGCAGCGATCCCGCCTGGTGAAGGGCCGAGCGGGGCTGCCGGTTATGAGCCTTCTCCTACCGGACGGACGGAGGGAGCTGCAAAGGGTCGATCACTCACCGGGAGGCAGGGTCCGGGCGGCACAGTTCCTCAAGGAGTCGGCGGCCGCCCCGGTCTCGGCGCTGGGCAAAGCGCCGCCGCTCTCGGCGCCTTCGCCGGAGCCCTGGTCGCAGCTGCTGCCCGCTTCGGCCGGCGCCTCCTCTCCGGCCAACTTTCGTCTCTTCTGCGGCTGCTGTTGCTGCTGCTGCTGCTGCTGCTGCTGCTGCTGCTGCTGCTGCTTCTCGGCTCCGATCAACGCCTCCACCGAGAAAGCGTGAGCCTTGAGGCTCAGCATGGTGCAAGGCGAGGCTCTCCTTTTCTCTGCCATGCCCAGGCCGGCGGGCTGAGCGCCCTGCTTGCCTCTCCCTCCCCCTCCCTGCTTTCCTCCTTCCAGGCCGCACCGCTTGCCCCCTCCTCGCCTTTTCTTCTACATCCAACTTCTAGCAGCCCAAAGTGGTTTCGGTGCGCCGCCGCCCCCTCCCTTCCCGAACTATTCCTTTTTGCAGCGGTTCTTCTCTTCGCCCCCTCCTCCTCCTTCTCCTGCAAGCTCTGCCTCGTCTGAGGGCCCAAACAGCTCTGACATGGGTAACAAACGCTGTGCGGACACAAATTAGGGCTTGTAATTGAAATTTGTTGCCTTGATCTGTCAGCACTTCCAGGCAGGAGAACGGTGGGAAGAACTTGCTCATTAGTGTCAATAAAGTGAGTGGGACGGGGCGGAGCCCACGGAGAGAGGGAGAGCGGGTGTCAATCAAGGGGTACCCTCGGCCAATCAGAAATTACAGATCCCCTCCATAGCGGGCGCTTCTTCCTTAGAAGGGTATAAATGGGAATGAGATGCGGAGGGGGGAACCGAGTAGTCGGTGTTGCCCCCTTTCCCTTTCCTAGCACCCCTGGACGAGCCCGTCTCTTTCCGGCTGAAAGTCTCCTTTTCTTTAGACAAAACGGGTACTAGACTGATACACCTTTTAATCAACGGATCGGAATCTAGAGAGTGAAAGTAGCGTGGGGGCTCAAGTCCCACCTCTTTGAGTGGTTGTGGGCCAGCTGTTATCTTTCAGGCTCAGTTCCTCATCTGTAAAATGGGTCTAACGTTCATCATCCTCGCAATGCAGACTGAATGCAAGCAGAATAAAGTTTACTTTTTTAAAAATGCAAAATATTCTTTAAAAGTCAGACTGCAGTAGCTTCTCACGTTGACCCTGCTCACTCCAGGTATAAAGGTCAAATAAGCAGAGACCTAAAGATTAATTTTAGTTCTATAATGTTTTTCTGAGTTTTAACTCTACAATAGGACGAGGGATTAAAATATGCTGTTTTTATTGAAGGGCATTATTTCTTTCTTTTAAAAATAAACAGAATAGAGAACTTCTAGTTTGCATAACAGTTTTTTTTCTAAAATCCCATATGTATAATAAAGATATATAGTAGCTACCTACTAGGGAAAGGCTTCTGTGTTGAAAAGCTATACCTGGTTGTTGAAGACTCAGGGCACAGTCCGCTAGGACATTGTCCTGCCTAGCGATTATGCAAGAGCCTTGATTTAGTCTTGGTGAAATCAGGCTCCTGTTATTTCCATAGATATTGTTACCAGGTGCTTGTGTTTGCAAACCGTATGCCAAAAAACCAATTTGGGTACAATGCCATGCACTTCCTCTCCCTCTGTCCCCAAATATTTCTCTTGAGAGCCTAGTTAATGACCTAGGGCTGAAAGCTTTAACTGAATAATAGATGACATTCTTTGATTAATGTACTAGCTTCTTGTTTAAAATAGAAGTTTTAATCAGAACAGCTCCATGTGAATCTTTCCTGATAGTGTGTGCTAAATACCAATCCATAGGAGGTATTCAATTATAATTTCACAAATGATTAGTATGCGGTCCAAGGTTCAGGCTAATGATTTTGTAAAACAACCTGTCTAAGTTGAATTGTGGACCTGGCTAGATTTCTTCAAAATCATGTTCCTGATCTTTACAAATATTCTTCAAGGTAAAGATAAATACCTTTATTGGGTTGCTGTCAAGTTTATTCAATTGTTTAATTAAAAAAAGAAAGAAAATAAGTCATATTCACATTCTAGTCAAAAGTCAGCCCTAGATACACTTGTTTTCTTTCATCAAGAAAAAGGGGTTCACCCCCCCCAAATAAATACTTTCTATGGGAATGATTGAAAGGAATCACCTGAGTTTTATCCCAGTATTGGAAACTGGCTTTAAGCATTTTCCTTTATCTTTGTAAACCGCTATCTCTAAATCTAGCTCTATAAGGTTAGTTGGAAGCAAATCCAAGTAACGCTTTTGTAATTGCATAATACTCCGTAGGAGTGAGAGGGACAGCAGGAATGGTAGCATCACTTCATGATGTAAGGCTGCAAGGCTGTACACGCTTATATGGAAGTGATCTCGAGGAGATTGAGTGGGATGTACTTTAGAATGAAGATGCTCTGCTATTTTATTAATCCTTTTTCACAGAAGCAAACTGTATTAGTGGTGTTGCTTCCCCCTGACTTTGACATTATATAGTACATCTGGATCACCACTCCTTTCTTTTTTTAATGCAAACCCAAAGTTACCCTTGGATAAGAATTCCAGAAGACATTGTGTTCTAATCTAGATCCAGAACTACTTGCACACGTTATTCCAGATACAGCGCCTTGAAATTCGTAGAAGTGGCCGTTCTTAAAGCGTTCCACTGAAGTAGATAGGCTGTAAGAACTCCAGTGCTAAGCAAGCCTACCGGAAAATACTGGATTGGTGGCACCTTGGATCCACTGCAATAGCTCAGATCCTGCAATTGTGCAAACAAGCATAGCAGTTTGAAAAATAAAATAAAATATATGCAGTTTATTCTAATAATGGATTGTAGATTGCATGCTTTGATCCAGGAGGGGTTGGTCTGTTAGTCTGAGCTCACTTTTAAGCGATAGGAGGAGGACAGTTTTGCTTCTGCCCTGTATTGTTTTTTTTTTAATTATTGTCTTCAGGTGAGTAACCCTTTCCCAGAAACCACTTTTTGAACCAGGGAGTACGAAAGGGGCTGAAGTTGTGTGTGCGCCTGTACCTGCCTGCGTTTTCTGCTCTTCAGTTTTGCCTTTGGATTCTGGAAAAAATGATGCCTCTCTGAGCGCAGGCACCGTAATGATTAGGGACGTTGGGAGGGTGGAATTTAACATGTCACCAAAATGTAAATCCATCTGTAGTTTCAGTCGCGGCTGAGGCGAGTGAGAGAGGCCAGAATTTACGAGAGAAAGAGAATCTGGGAGATCAAAAGCTTCAGAGGTAGATTGCCTTTTCCTTTCTTTTTAACCAATGTTTTTCATTAAAAAGGCAAAGAAAAAAGGAACGCCACAGTCCAAGCACACTTAATTGGAAATCAGCGCTATTGATTTTCTATTCAGTTGATTCCAGCTAACCTGACTTCTTCAGAATCGGGTCGCTGGAAGCTACTTGTGACGCCCCGACCTCCCGCTTAGCTCACCGATTAGTCCGGGTTCAGTCCATAAACCCCATAGATTTAAACCCCTTTGGCGCTACGGGCCCCACGGGAAAGTGCTAAGTTTAAAAGCTCCGTCAGGAGAGCTTCCGAGACAAGGGGCTGTTGTGGGATGGGGGATTTTGGGGGGGGGGGGTGTCGCTCACAACGAGGCTGCCAATTCTGAGGACAGCCGAGAGCATAACGGGGCTTCTGGCCAGGAGGGCGTCCCCACCGGCCGCCTGGTGCCCGGTCCCCGCGCGTCGCGCTCCCCCCGCGTCCCTGGCCGCGGCTCAGAGGATGTGGGAGCCCAGAGCGTTTCCCCCCCGCCGCCGCTGCGGCGTGTTCCGCCGCGCAGAAACTCTACCCAAGAAGGGAAGCGGCCAATAAAGGGCCCTTTTCCTCCCTTGTTTCCGGGGAGAATAAGCAGCAGATATGCCAGAGGAGCATTTAGCGCCTGCCTCGCTTCCCATCGCGCAGGATCTCGACTAGAGAGGTGGATACGCAGACTAACAGGCTGCCGGTTACGTTTTTCCCGGCCTCGCTGCTCTCTTCCTCTCTTCCTGCTGTAATGCTCAGCGCATCTGACCTGCTGGTGCTCACACGGGCCTCGAGGAAACGGTGGCTGGTAGCCAGTGTTAGTCCTACTTAAAGTGGACCCATTGAAATGAAGGGAGCTTGGATTGAACTAATATTGGCTACAGTCCGACCTATCCATTGATCGAGAGTCCCAAAGCGAAACGATCGCTTTTTTGCTCCTTTACAAAAAGCAACGCCATCAGACAGAGACTTTAAAAAGTAGAAAATTATAGCGTTAATTGCTGGACCTTAACCATTCTCCTTTCTGCCACAAAGCAAAGAGGGGAAAGGGGGAAACGTCGGGGTGGGGATAGCTTTCCGGCAATTGCCCTCATTTTTTTATTATTGTGGTATCCACGTCGCTGATGGTCCAATAGTTTGCGATGACACCATGACTGAATTGGGGAGCTAATCACCTTTCCCTGCCTCGGCGAAGGAGATGAGTTCCTGAGCAGACAGCTGGCGAGTGCAGGACTTCGGCAAGTCCCCTTTCCGCTCCGCAGCCCGATTCCAGGCAGGTCAGCAGCGAGAGCGGGGCGCGCAAGCAGGCAGCCCGGCGAGTGTCTTCGGGGGACACGCCGCGGGTGGGAGCCAGAGGCCTGCGGGCATCTCGCCCACCGCCAGGGCCACGGGAAGAAGAGGGCGGCTGCGGGCGCAGGGCGCTGCCCAGGCCAGGCCAGGCCAGGCCAGGCCAGCGCGACACGCCGCCCCGCCGCGCCCTCTGCCTCCTGGCCGCGGTCCGCTCTCCACGGCGCGCTCCTGATTTCATCCCGGGCTTGGCACCCACTTTTCAGCCGTGTTGGGCGCTTGACTTTCGCTTGCTAACTTTTTCTTTGCGGGGGGAGACACGAGTCAGATCGGTTTCTATGTATGCGATGGAAGGTGACTTCTAACCCCTCCCCTCGGGAAAGGTTAGGGAGGGAAGCACGGGCGTTTTGATTGGATTTGTTAGGGGTTTGGAAAACATCAGCAAGTTCGTCTCTCCCTTTTTGCTTCCCGACCGATGCATGCAGAGTTTCGATTGTAATCTTATTAGCGATTTCACGCAGACCCGTTGCGGTGTGTGTGTCTGCTCTTAAACTGGCATTAGAAGGGTTTGCCATAAAAAGGCAGGAACAAGACCAAGCTGCATTTTAAAGATTTCCTCGGTCTCTGGTAGTCTGTGCTAAGATGTGCGTCGATTTCTATGTGAATATAGCATAGCAGGGGCTTGGCAAATCCCACTACAGTTCTCATCAAGTCTAACAATTGAGCCTGCGCTACTGGAAGCCAAAGCTG